CTTTTCTGATACTGGTGAGGATGGACTTTAGGGTCTGCATCTTGAAACTTGCCTAAATGTAGAACCTTACTTTTTTCACCATTGAATTTCATTTTATTACATAGCACCCAATGTTCAAGTCGATGTCAAGATCCTTCTGTATCTTAAGCCTGTCTTCTGGAGTGTTGGCTATTCCTGCCAGCTTGGTATTGTCTGCAAATTTGATGAGTTCCCCATCTATCCCCTCATCCAAATCATTGATGAAGATGTTGAAGAGAACTGGGCCCAGAACAGAGCCCTGGGGCACCCCACTACACACTTCCCTCCATGTAGATGCAGTTCCATTGAGGACCACTGCAGTACGGCCGGTCAGCCAGCTATGAATCCATCTGGTGGTGATGCTGTCTAACCCACATTTTTCTATCTTATCAAGTAGTAGGTTGTGATCTACTTTATCAAATGACTTACTGATGGCCAAGTAAATTATATCCACAGCATTCCTCTGGTCCACTAATTTTGTGCACCTGGTCAAAAAATACAATAAGATTTGTATTCATGATCTGTTTCTGACAAACCCATGTTGGCTTTTAGTAATGACTTTGTTTGCCTCTAGGTGTTCGCTGATTCGTTGTTTGATTATCTTTTCCAGAATCTTCCCAGGTATTGAAGTCAGNCAGTTCCTTCAGAACCTTGGGGTGTAATCCATCTGGTCCTGGTGATTTGAACTCGTCTAGGGTGGACAGGTGCTTGCTTACCATTTTCTTGCCTATCTTAACTTGTGTTTCTGTTTTTTACGGTACTGTTTTTGATAGGTTGGACTGTTTTTTCCTTTTGTGTAAAGACGGATGCAAAAAACGAGTTAAGTAGTTCTGCTTTCTCCCTGTTGCTTGTCACCTTCTTGCCATTTTCTCCCACTAATGGACCAATCATTTCCTTAACTTTTTTCTTGTTTTTTACATGTTGTTTTGTTGCTTTTGTTATTTTTTTACCTTTGTCGTAAGCAAGTGTGAATGGGTCAAAAGGAAGGGAAAGGTTGGGACTTGGAGTTGATATGCATTACAAAAGTGAGAAGTTTAAAGATCAAAAGTGATGAAAGCAACAGAATTTGTTAAGGACAGAAACTACCTCAAGATGGAAGCGCATATTAGAAATACAATGGTACCTCAGTACTCATCGTTAATTGGTTCCAGGAGGAGCAATGAGTACCAAAAATGATGAGTACCACACAATTTTTTCCAATAAGCAATAATGTAGTGAGTCACAAGGCAGCCGACAACGACAAGGTCTGTTTCCACCCGCCTGATCTTCCATAAGGGCCTGAAGACGTGGCTCTGCCATTTGGCTTGGGGTCCAAATGGGGGAGTTTCATGCTGCAGGTTGATGGACCAATAGCAGATTCCCCCTGCACATCTTGCTCCCTTCCTCTGCATCTATTAGTCATAATTTGTATTTGTATTGTTAATAGATATACAGTATATGTTTGTATGGTTGCATGGTTTTATTGCTTTTAATGTTGAAACCTTAAATAAAGCAAACTGATTAGGCATTAACTGGCTGGACCATTTCTATCCCCATTCGTACAGTTTGCACAAGGAAAGATCAACTGCATTCTCTGGAAATCTGCAACACCACAATCTGTATGATAAATTTTAAATCACCAATATTTTCTATACGTGAACAAAAACTATATTGCTGTCCCAGGGGCACATTCCTATCCTTCAACTATAATATTAATTAATTTAGTATTTAATTTTAGTAGGAAACTAAGACCTATTTGGAGCATAGCCTAATCTTAGTTAAAGGAATGAATCAGTAGAATCATTACTAAAAAACAGATTGATAATATTCTTCCCATATACTTAGAGTTCTTATTCCATCAAATGTCTTAGGTAGAACTAGCTATTATACACTGAAAGAAAGCAGAATTCATAGTAGTAATGGCCTGAATTAAACACTGTCATCAATGTTTCTGAGTATATTCTTTTTCTTAAAGCTTCACAGGATTTGTTCAGTTCACATCGGACCAGAAAATGGTAAATTATTAGTTTTAAATCTTCAATTCAAATGGCTTTACTTTGAAACATTAATGGTTTCCATTTTGTTCTTAATTTGGGAGTAGAATTCTTGTATCTCCAGCATGCTGTGTACTACCTAATTAAGACTGTGTTAAATAATAATGTCTTTTTCTTCTTCTATGTGACCCATAAATCTCTCTAAGTAAGTTCACTGAGAAATTTAGACAAAGAATTTGCTCACTGAAGATAAGATAAATTTAGTGAAATACTTAACTCTATATATTACTTTTCTGAAACTAGAATACAATTAACACTACTAACTCAAACTCCTTACAAAGAAAGGTCTCTAGAGTCATCTTCATCTGACTCAAATAGAATAAATGCACTGTACTACTAGTATGGACTAAATGCTATGGACTAAAAGGTTAGCACCTCAATGTTTAAAATGGCAATTCTTAAATCAAAGTCTGATAATTGTTAAAGATGATATACAATATATAGAACTGCATCATTTGAGCCTAATCTCATATTAAAATCTCTGATCATGATGAGAGTACCATCAAAGAACTCCCAAAAATGTTTCACTATATACATGATACCATTTGGCAGATAGAAACTACATAACTATGTACAACTATTATTTTAGTATTACAGCTGTGGCTAGAAAATCAATTACCCAATTTCATTCATTCATCTTTGTCAAACTTGACACTCTCCAGATGTGTTAGGAAATGTTTAGAACGTTGGACCATGAATTTCAATGTAGATGGACAGCTCCATACTGTAGAGGGGGGATACTTTATATTCACAATTTTTGAAAGAATATACATTTGTTCCCTAATTTTGTTTCTAACATCATGGGGAAAAAATCATTTTACTTCCCAGCAAAAGGAAACATTGTTAGGCTATTCCAGTGATGGCGAAATTTTTAGAGACCGAGTACCCAGACTGCAGCCCAAAACCCACTTATTTATCGCAAAGTGCCAAGGCCGCATCATCATTGTGGTGCCCTCAGGGGGGTGAGGGTGGGGGTGGCCCACTGGGTGGGCGTGACTGCGGTGGTCACGGCAGGCTGAGTGGCGTGGTGGGTGAGCATGGCCACCTTGATGCTGCTCATGGGAGGGATGCCTGTGGGAGCTGGGCAGGATTGGGGGAGATCCAGGGGGTCTCTGGTGGGTGGGGCGGTGGGCAGGAGGCTCGTCCTGCGAGGTGAGGCAGGGGTAGGGTGGGGGTGCCATTGCTGCGGGGCAAGGCGAGGCAGGGGTGGCTGCTGCCTGACACCATCAGCCCCCGCACACAGAGGCCAGCGACCGCATGTGGGCATGCTCTACCACCTCTACTCGAGCTTGCTAGCCAGCTGCTTTACCTCCTTTGTGCTGGGTGGGGCTGCCGCTCCGTGTGCCAGGGTGGCCTAATGGACCTGCGCAAGCTAGCAGCGGCAGCAGGTGTGCCCACAGAGAGGGCTCTGAGTGCCGCCTCTGGCACGCATGCCATAGGTTCGCCATCACTGGGCTGTTCCTTGTCAGTAAACTTTTCTTCGTATAATATAATGTTCTGGTCAGTCACTTGTCGAGGAATATCTCCAGCTAAACTAGAACCCAAGAATTCCACCACTAAGCTAAACTCCTATCTCAGTATTAGCTACAGAAGATCAAAGTTAAGGCTTTGACAGTACTTACAGCCAAAGATAATTTAAAAAGTAAAATATAACTCCTTAATCTCGTAACACATGGATAATGCAACCACAGTTTCAACTGGGAAATCATGAATTTCCTAGATCAAACTAAATACTAGGGAAATCCTGGAATATTGGCACTCAGACAAATCAGCCTTCAACAGACACAGATATAAACTACTTTTACACACCATTCAAAAGTTACAGTAAAAAAGCTAAGAAGGAAACAAAAAACCCAAACACATTCTCTCCGTGAGCCAACACCCAGGTAAACAGGGATTAACATCAGACAATTAAGCAAAACACAAAACCCTTAACAAATACCAAGGAGAAAGCCATATCGCCACCAACCCTGGCAGGATAAGTTACTATATATAAACAGGGAGCAAACCCCACACTCACTAGCACTGATGATGTTACGTTGGGTAATGAAACGTTGGCAAGCATACAAACAAGCTCAGAGAGCACCAGGGACTCCATAAAACATTTTACTGTAATATTCAAATAAATGCAGTCACTAAGTCCAGGATATTATCACATCCCCAAATCCTCCAGAAATGTGTTCCACACAGATTACTTCTTCTCTGTCCTAAGCAATTAAAAATATAATGCATCAACCTAACTTACTATTGAATATGCAGCAAGCCCAGATCATTCTTTTTAGTCATTACAGGTCATCCTCAACTTACAATCATTGGTTTAGTGACCGTTCAAAGTTACAATAGCACTGAAAAAAGGTGAATTATAGCCAGTTTTCACGCTTATGACCGTTGCAGCATCCTCATGGTGACCTGATAAAAATTTGGGTGCTTGGCAACTGGCGTGTATTTATGACAGTCACACTATCCCAGGATCTTGTGATCACCATTTGTAACCTTCCCAGCAGGTTTCTGACAAGCAAAGTCACTGGGGGAAGCCAGATTCATTTAATGACCGCATGATTCACTTAACAAGTGCAATGATTTGCTTAACAACTGTGGCAAAAGGTTGTAAAATGGGGCAAAACTCACTTAACAACTCACTTATCTTGTTTAGCAAAGGAAATTTTAGGCTCAATTGTGGTCATAAATTGAGGACTTAGGATATTTTTATCCCAAGAATAAGCTAAATATTTGGATAACAGTAGACTTTGATAAAATAGCATCATAAATTGATTTTTAAGAATTAAGAATGTGTTCCTTTGGTTTCTAATAAACTGGTTAAGAAACACTGTATTTTCCTATTTTAATTGGCTACATCACTGAATTTTAACTACCATAAGAGCAATTTAAAAATGTAAATTCTGCATCTCCCAGCCACATTCTGAAATTGGATTTTAAAAAGGCACTTACCCCATGCTGCATAGATTGCAGAAGATAATAATTTAATGCTTGACTTATTGAAACTTGAAGGATTTTTAGCTGCTCTGATATAATCCCAGTGTTCCTTAATTCAGTATGAATCTTCCACTGAGCAACACAATTCCAAGCAATAGCCCCTATGTGCCCTGATGGTAAAGTCCTTACAATTGCTCTGGTTCCAGTGTAGACTGATTTCTTAATCTCCTTATCATTTTTGCAAAATCTTCTTATTAATAAGGTAGAACGCTCCTTCTTACTTCGGGAAAAATTTTCCTCCATAATTCTGTGGGCAGTGCAGTTTTCAAAATGGCTCAGAAGAGGCTTTGAAGGCATCCTTCCAGTAAAATTACCACTTGAGAAACCGTGACCTGAGCCTCCCACACTAAGTTTTGGAGTTCCTTTTTTGAAACACAATAATTTATCCACTGACGCATCAGAAGAATCATGGAGTTTTCCAGTTTTACTCCCACAGGATGGCAGGTCCAGGTAGTTACAAGTGCAGGCTATGGAATCATTGGTGCAAGACATACAGTCATTCCAAATGAAATTATTATGCAGAGTATGTATGCTTTTTGAGAGATTATTGCTCTCTTTAGCATAACTGGCATCTGTAGTTTCACTTTCTTTTTTGTGGACTGAGGACTGGCTCCTTAGTGGCTTCAACTTCATTTGAGATTCATCCATGTTTAACTGAATTTCAGCATACATGGCTCTTTGCAGCGAAGAAATTCCAGTTTCTGAATATTTCTCTTTCTTTGAAAAAGAATCATATGGGTTATATAGTTGGATATGTATAGTATTACTCTTAACAGTTTTTCTGTAGATCATAATTTATGTTAAGAAATTCCAAAGAAGCAGGAATAAATGTGCCTCCCTGCCAGGCATTTTCTCTATCAGTCATTTCTTTTTTATCTGTTAAAATAAAAATGCCAAGCAATGTTCCCTAGCAGGTCTTTTTATTCAAGTTATAAAAAAGATCTGTACATCTGATTTGTTCTCTCATAACTGGCAGCTACAGAGCTTATCTCCATTATATCCATTCCAAATGGCCAATGTTGGCCCCAAATCAACTGTAAGTAAAGCCTATTTCTTTGGAAAACAAGCTGACCTCATGACATTTTTTAAATGTGCAGGTATTTTTCCTCCAAAGCTACAGTGTAATGAATTCCAATCACTTGGTTGGCACAGAATATAAATTACAATCAGTATTTCTTTGGAGCATGACAGCATTTAGACTTGTTTTCTCCCAACAACTGATACTTCTATTATAGAATATAGTGTTGTTTTCCCTCTTGTACATTTCTTAGAAGAACATAACAGGAAAAGGCCCTTGCTTCTTAAGTCATGCAGCTTCCAGTTGGTTTTCTGTAAGAAAAAAAACACAGTATTAATGGTATTAAATTACATACCAAACATATGTATATGTGTAACACATCCAAGCAAGTTGACATCCCCAAAGAATTTCACCCATCAGCCCAAAGATGGCATCAAGCAACATGGGCAGAGAAACTGCTATGCCACAGGATAGCTGGTACAATAGCAACAACTGACTTCTCAGGCTTGGCCTCAGAAGAACGGTCTCACATCTGCTTAATTACAAGGCAGCACCCATGACAATCCCAACTCTCTCCCTCTCCAAACAATAACAGCTCCCCTTTCTCTCAGTATTAGTCTGTCCCTAACATTGAAAACTGAGCCAAATAGGCATACAGGAACACAGCAGTTGTGTTAGGTAGATTTATTGCAGAAAAGCTAGTGCAGCTCAAATGAAAGATTTTCTATGTATCAAATGGAAGACCTATTTGTAGTGAACTCAAGATTTAAATCTGTGTCCCTTTTTTCCTCTCATCTGCACAGCATTCACTTGTCCCTTGTTTTGATTCTGACTAGTCTGGTTTTACGGAATTCAGGCTCTGACAAGACGCGTGCTATCCCCAATGGTTATCTTTTTTATGATTTTGATCATTATCAACTCTGATGAAGTAAAACATTGTGCAAAGATTGTTTTTATTATGGATAAATCTATAATCCAGTACAATGAGAGCAAAGGAAAATCCTCCTTTTGATATATTAGAACTGTGGTATGTTCTGGGCATCTAAACAGCAGCATAAATTGGGAAGGAAATAGATCAAGCACAGACAGATCATATTTGATCAGAAATCAAATCATAATTGAGCAGAAACAATACAGGTAGTCCTCGATTTAAAACTATTCGTTTAGTGACCATTCAAAGTTAAAACAGCACTGAAAAAGATGACTTATTCACACTTACTACTGTTGCAACATCCTCATGGTCATGTGATCAAAATTCAGATGCTTGGCAACTGGTTCATATTTATGACAGTTGCTATGTCCCAAGGTCATGTGATCACCTTTTGTGACCTTCTGACAAGCGAAGTCAACGGAGAAGCCAGATCCACTTAAACCTGTTACTAACTTAACAATTGCAGTGATTCACTTAACAACTGTGGCAAGAAAGATCGTAAAATGGGACAACACTCACTTAACAACTGTCTCACTTAGCAACAAAAATTTTGGGCTCAATTGTAGTGATAAGTCAAGGACTACCTGTACAAATGTGAAGCCTTTTGGCAAACTATTTACCTTTCGCAATGAAATCACTGCTAATGAAGTGTAAATAAGATATATGTAATAAAGCAAATAGGTTCTTTCTGCCCAGAATCTTTAACGTAAATTTCTAAAGTAAAATGAAGTTCCATTAAAACATTTGCAGGCCAGATGCTGATAAATTGGTATTAAAAGAAATGAGTAGCAAAACTATTTTTGTCAGAGCACCTTGCAACTGCTGTTTGCATGAAGGAAAAATAGGGAAGTCTTGAAACAAGATTGCAGCCCCTACCAGAGTATAACAGCTGTGAAAATAATATTCTTTCTCTGAAAATAGCAGCAGTGGCTACATCTTGGTGCATGTTTCTCAATGTTTCCTCTCGTAAGCTATGTCCTATAATATAATTAGACTGTTTGGAGGAATCAGAAAGATTATACCTGTTATCAAAGATGTGTTCACTTTAAGCAAATATTCACCAATTATTTGGCTGGGAATTTTGAGAATTATATTTGAAGGTCAAGGCTATAATCCTATTTAGATGTATCAAGAAATATCTTTCTGGGGCTTAATTCCAAGTAGGCTTGCATTATACTACAGGAGAGTTAGGAGCCATCAAACTGAGTTTTACTTTTATGATAAAAGTTTTTTGTCTTGACTATCTGAATTATAAGGACATCTAAGGATATTCAACTAATCTCTTTCATCCTATCCATTGCTTTCCCTTTCTTCTATGTCCCTTAATCTTGCCAAGAGTTGGAATTCTGATAACTTATCAATCATCTGGCCAACACATGTGAGTTTCTGCTTCCTGATGATTACTTCTTTAATTATCAAAAACTGATTGATTGTATCTTCTTTCATTCATTTTTAGTGTCCAGGTTTGGCACTGTTTCACGTGTTACTTGTTCATTTGGTATTTATTTTTCAAGGTACCGTAGGTTCTTTTCTTCTTTGTAAGGT